TTGCACATTTTACTTTTCTTTTTCCCTTTGTGTTGCTGGAGATTGATCCCAGGGCCTCATACATACTAGGTAATTCCTCTACTACTGAGCTACATCCCCAGTCCATGTTTTACATTTATTTACCTAAGCACTCCATGACTGGAGGCAGTATTTCTATTACTAACACAGAATTTGAAGTCAGGCAGATTCTCAGCCGGGTTCTACAAGACCTTCAAAGCAGAATTAACACCAATATTCTTCAAATTATTCCAGGAAATAGAAAAGGAGGGAAGCCTTCCAAACTCATTCTTTGAAGCTAGTATCACCTTGATACCCAAATCGGACAAAGACATATCAAGGAAAGAAAACTTCAGACCAATATCTCTGATGAACACAGATGCAAAAATCCTCAATATAATTCTGGCACATCACATACAAAAATATATTAAGAAGATAGTGCACCACGATCAAGGGGAGTTCATCCCAGAGATACAAGGTTGGTTCAACATACAGAAATCAATAAATATAATTCATCACATCAATAGACTTGAAGACAAGAATTATATGATCATCTCAATAGATGCAAAAAAGCATTTGACAAAATACAGCACCCCTTCATGTTTAAAATACTAGAAAAACTAGGGATAGTAGGAACATAACTCAACATTGTAAAAGCTAATATGCTAAACCCAAAGCCAACATCAATCTGAACAGAAAAAAAATTGAGAAAGCATTTCCTCTAAAAACTGGAACGAGACAAGGATGCCTTTTTCACCTTTTTTTTTTTTTTTTTGGTGCTGGGGATTGAACCCAGAGCCTGTGCATGTGAGGCAAGCACTATACCAACTAAGCTATATCCCTATCCCCTATTTCACCACTTCTATTCAATATCGTCCTTATAGCCAGAGCAATTAGACAGAAGAAAGAAATTAAAGGGATGAGTAGGAAAAGAAATCAAACTATCTCTATTTGCTGATGACATGATTCTATATTTAGAAGATCCAAAAAATTCCACCAGAAAACTTCTAAAACTCATAAATGAATTCAGCAAAGTAACAGGATATAAAACGAACACCCATAAATCAAATGCATTCCTATACATCAGTGATGAATCCACTGAAAGAGAAATTAGGAAAACTACCCCATTCACAATAGCTTCAAAAGAAAACAAACAAACCAACCAACAACAACAACAAAAAAAAACTTGGGAATCAATTTAACAAAAGAAGTGAAAGACCTCTACAATGAAAACTATAGAACACTAAAGAAAGAAATTGAAGAGAAACTTACAAGATGGAAAGATTTCCTAAGTTCCTAGATAGGCAGAATTAATATTGTCAAAATGCCCATACTACCAAAAGCATAATACAGATTTAATGCATTTCTTATTAAAATCCTAATGACATTCTTAATAGAATTAGAAAAAAGCAATCATAAAATTCATTTGGAAAAATAAGAGACCCAGAATAGCCAAAGCAATACGTAGCAAGAAGAGTGAAGCAGGAGGCATCATAATACCAGACCTTAACCTATACTATAAAACTATAGTAACAAAGACAGCATGGTATTGGCACCAAAATAGTCGTGTAGACCAATGGTACAGAATAGAGGACACAGAGACAACATAAATATGGTTTTCTTATATTAGACAAAGGTACCAAAAACATACATTGGAGATAGCCTCTTCAAAAAATGGTACTGGGAAAACTGGAAATCCATATGCAGTAAAATGAAATTAAATCCTTATTTCTCATCCTGCATAATACTCAACTCAAAAGTAGATCAAAGACTTAGGCACTAGAACAGAGATCCTGCACCTAACAGATGAAAAAGTAGGCCTAAATCTTCATCATGTTGGCTTACAAACTGACTTCCTTAACAAGACCCCTAAAGCAAAAGAAATAAAATAAAGAATCAATAAATGGGATGGATTCAAACTAAAAAGCTTCTTCTCAGCAAAGGAAACAATAATGTGAAAAAGTAGCCTATAGAATAAGATAAAATCTTTACCACATGCACATCAGATAGAGTACTAATCTCTAGGATATATAAAGAACTCAAAAAACTTAACATCAAAAACCCAAATAACCCAATCAAAAAATGGGCCAAGGAACTGAACAGATACTTCACAGAAGAATTATAATCAATCAACAAATATATGAAACAATGTTCAACATCTCTAGTAATTACAGAAATGAAATCAAAACTACACTTTCATCTCACTCCAGTCAGAATGGCAATAAATCAAGAATATAAGCAACAATAAATGTTGGCGAGGATGGGAGGTAAAGGGTACACTCATACATTTTTGGTGGCACTGCAAATTGGTGCAACCATTATGGAAAGCTGTATGGAGATTCCTTAGAAAACTTGGAATGGAACCACCATTTGACCAGCTATCCCAGTCCTTGGTTTATACCCAAATGACGTAAAATCAGCATACTACAGTGACACAACCACATCAATTTTTAAAACCCCCTAACTCACAATAGTCAAGCTATGGAGCCAACCTAGATGCCTTTCAACAGATGAATGGATAAAGAAAATGTGGTATATATACACAATGGAATAGTACTCAGCCTTCAAGAAGAATGAAATTATGGCAAATGGATGGAGCTCAAGAATATCATGTTAAGTGAAATAGGTCAATCCCAGAAAACCAAAGGCTGAATGTTCTCTCTGATATGTGAATGCTAATTCCCAAGGTGGGGGGTGGAGCTAGGGAAGAATAGAGATACTTTGAATTGGAGAGAGGGGGTGAATGGGGGATGGGGGATAGGTGTAGGAAGGATAGGAGAATGAATCAGATATACCCTATGTGCATATATGATTATATGACCAGTGTGATTCTATATCTTTTATAGCCAGAAAAATGAGAAGTTATACTCTATTTATGTATGATGTGTCAAAACGCATTCTACTGTCATGTATAACTAATTAGAACAACAAAACAAAAAAGAACTGAATTAAGAATATAATATACAGGCAATCACAAAAATTCAACCTAAAAGAAGGAAGGGACCCAGGAGAACTATCTTTAACATTCATGAAAAGCTCCCAAGATCAAACTGATTTCTGAGGAACAAAGCATTGACAAATTCTAATTAAAGAAAAAAAAATGTTTGCTTCCAATTTAAATTAAGTACATTATTGAAGCACATTCTGGTTTTACAGTCAAAGAAAGTTTATTTATAGACATTCTCTTTTGAATTACACAATTATGAGTTCCACCAATTACAAGAAATGGTAGATCTTTCTGCAATCTTTTTCCAAAGTACTGCTTTGTTTTCAATAATAATTCTTCCTTATGATATCACTCCTTCTTCAAAGAGAGACTTTAGAGAATTTTCCATAATAAAATAAGTTTTGGTTGCTTGTTTAAAAAAAAAAAAGAATCTGGAGTCAGGGAGAATTAACTTTGAATCCGAGTTCTACCATTTGCCATTTGAGAAATTATGGACAAGTTATTTTGACCTATTTCCCAAGCCTGCAGGTATATGCATGTTTGGTTCAGTTTGTGGCAAAAGTTGAGACCTAGTAAGAGCAATATAGTCATTCCAACTTAACAAAAAATTACTGATACAGGTAGAGTAGGTGGTGTTTCCCTTTTTCCTCACTCCCAATTTTTCCATGAGGATATTGATTTTCAATGAATTCATGAGATGTGCTCAAGGCTAACAGTAGAATGAACTCAGCATCAGAACACACCCCTCCTCCCCAATCCTTTCTCAGTACTCTTTCCTCCATAATACAAAAAGTTAAAAGTGAAAGGAACCAAAATCTTATGAAGTAATAAAGCAAAAAGAAAGGGATAGATCTGACAGATTAGTCCTGTTTCTATCACTTAATAATTAAGCCTCAGATAAATCACTTCTGAGATTTTCAATATTTTCTGGAAAACAGGAATACATGCTTTTATAGGGTTAATACAAGGGCTATACAAGATAATAGAAGTAAAGTATGTAGTAGTGTGACTGACACATTGTAATCATTCATTGATGTTAGCTATTAATACTAAAACAACATTAAAGTCTCATGTTTGCCAAGTCTTTAGCCTATACTAATTATCTAACCCCATTAGAAAGTGAAGAACACTTTTCGAAACAGATTTAATAAGAAGAACAGTCCTCACTAAATTCTCCCAATTTAATTCTAGAAAAAAGAATATGATTTTAAAGTCATTTCAGTTCACAATTTCCTGTCTATTAAATATCTACATTTAATAACTTATTTTGCTTTAAAAGAAATGGTTTTATAATGCTGAAGAAAATAGAGGCCACAATCTATTCACAGTTTACTCTAGTAAGAACTGAAATTAAATATTCTTAAGAATTTATAAATTATTCAATATCAAGTCCTGTAATTTTCAGAGCTCTGCTTTAATAAATTCTTAGCAGTATAAGCAGGTTATGTTGTTTTAATATTTAAAAATCTTCATTGTAATATTCAAACTCTAAATTCTCTTGTTACCTAAAATCATACAGGTTATTTTATTTACAGCACAACTAGAAAGTCTTAATAAATAAGTAATGGAAAATATATACTTGTTTTCCTTTTGAGAGATACTTCAAAATATTGAACAAGCAGCATTATTTCATAACATTTCCCCTGGTATTATCATCCTTAAATATTTATTTGGGTTAAAATATCCTGATTTAGAACTGTTTCACATTTTATTGAAAATAAAACCAGCGAGGATTGTGATCAGGCTGGCAACCAGAGTTTTCTAGTTGCAAATTAAAGTAATAGTTGATGTAATAGTTATGTGAGCAGGAAAAAAAAGAAGGAAGGAAGGAAGGAAGGAAGGAAGGAAGGAAGGAAGGAAGGAAGGAAGGAAGGAAGGAAACAACGTACAATGAAATCCTGTGAAACATATGTATAATTAAGGTTACATATTATGCAGAAAGCCAGTATTTACTATTATACCTTTAGATATGCATTACTTCAGAAAGTATGGTAGAAAAAAGCATTCTATTAATTTTTGAAATTGAAATTTGCTATTACATGGAACATTAACTTACCAGGGTTCTACTTTAAGATTTGAAGACATTTTTTGTGGAAGAAAAAATCCATGACAATTTGAAGCCTCCAGTAGTTCTTGTGGCATCCTTTTTGATACATCATAATAGTGACCAAATCTTGAAGATGATACTGGTCCAGTCTGCCAAAAAACCCCAGGGTTGCTCAAAAATTATTTTTAAACTACAATTTCTTTGTCTTATATCCTGCAAAACAATGCTACACTTATGCATTTTAATGTTAATAGGATTTTATGTATTTTAATGCTAATAAGGAAGAGCTAATATACATATACTTATTAAGTTTCAAAGAAGGGTACAATCACCTTTATTATTTAAACTATGTATAGCTAGGAATTAAGCTTTTCATCATTAATATTTCTTCACTGTTAGTAGTTCCTAAGTTTAGTAAGAATTTAAACACTTCTTTTTTTCTATACTGTATACTTTTCTAAGTTAAAAATTTTAATACACATAATTCTTATGTTTAAGATTTTAGGTTTTAATGACAAACTAAAAATATGCAGCTGTTAAAGCTTTAATGACAAATTAAATATGAAGTTGCTAAAAAACTAAATGCAAATTTAAGCCAAGTTAATTCATTGGTGAAACTCAAAAAGAAGCCAGGTATTCAAACATTAAAGTGAGTATCATTTTAAAACTAAATATTCATAATATATGAGCATATTCAACATTTCCTAGGAATTTAAAATTAAGCTTATACCATAAAATGTATAATACTCCAGAAAGGAACAGGCACATGATCAAGTAGAAATATGTATGTAAGCTATATTAGATCAATCAGAACTTTGCATAATCATTAGTTCAATAATTTGTTTTGTGTTCTCTATTAATGATTTCTCCATCAAATTATCTTTCTCCTAAAAAATTCTAGTAACTCTTGACACTGAATTTATTTACACAGGTTAGTAAAAGTCTCATAACAAAAATATTGCTTTGCATGGGCTGTTTTCCACCTCTCTCTCCCTCTCTCTACTCTCTCCCCCTCTCTTACTCCAAGCTCAAATGTAAGGAAATTCCACCTGGCAATAGCTTCTAGCAATAGCTCTGATATTATCTTATATAATTTCCATTGATATAATCTTACATAATTTCCATTGTCTTTAAAGCTACAAAACAGGAAAATTTTAAAACATCCAACAAAACTAGATAATTTCTACAGAAATAAAAGAACTACACATAGTAGTTTCATATGTTACTAAGTGACAATTTTTAAATTTAGATAACAAATTTGCTTGCCATTACACATTTGCATCTAAGCTTTCAAAGATTCATATTCTTAAGTGCTTATAAACATCAAATTATAAAGTAACATTTAATAAAACATTTTAAATTTAATGGAAGCATTTTTTTTTTCATATTTAGTCTGTGGGTTTGACATTTACTTCCTCAATAAAATGACTGTTTATCCCTACATAAAGTGCTACTTATTTTCATTAATGAAAGAGGTCTGCAGTTGGCTTCAATCTGGTCTTTTCAATGCTAAAATATATATAGAATTGTGGCTTCCAAAACATGATTTGTTCATTTGCTTTGAAAGTATTGACAAATAAATTATGACATTAAAATGTTTCTTAAAAACAGGGGATAAAGTTTTTAAATGTAAAGTTATTAGTTTAAAGCAAGGTCTTAGCATTAGTCTTAAACAAGGTTTGTTCTCTGGCCTATAATCTATTCTTTATCCGGATTATAGTTCAGAATGTTTTTACTGCAATCTCTGCTAGAGCTCATCTTTTTATTGTGTAAGTCCAAGCCCCCTTAATGTTTTATAGAAAGGCCTTGACTAACTGAACTTTGATCTGATGTCTTCATTGAGAAAAACACCAGGTTGCTCATTTCAGATGCAAATCCCCCTAAGGCCCAATAGAATTTAGTAAAGACAGCAAAAAAGAAGAAACCAGAAGTTTCCAGGATCCTCTTTGAGAATCCTGGGGCACACTGGTGTCCTTAATCCATGCACCAGCATGGATTAAGGTAGGTGATAACCTTTCCTGATTCAAAAGAATAAGCAGAGTGCCTACAAACTGGGTGGAGACTAGGATTTGGCTATAATAAAACACCATGCAATAAAAGCCTGGTCTATGTCAGAAGCCTCTGAAAAGGCCTCAATGTACCACATTCCCAGGCCTAGTAGGGAAGCTTGCAAAAGCCTACCTGAATCAAATAAGCATGAATAATCTATTTTAGCAGACTGACCATGGGGAGAGAGAAAGAAAGAGACTTTCTACTTCTTTTAAGTTTGAGTTAATAAATTTATTAGTGGACTGAAAGTTCTTGAAGTCCTATGCACTCAGAGAAATATGCTAAATTGCCAAGAAGAAAAGTATGCTTTTTAAGTTGCCGTTTCTATTAATGTTTCTAATTACAATATTAATGTGATAGAAATCTGAGATTTGTGATGAATTAAGGCAGAAAATTGATTTCATGCTGTGACAGTTTAAATGCAGAACACAAATAATTCATTAAAATGTAAAAATAAAAATGGAAGCTTTTTTCCTTATAAATATTAAATTATTTAGAAATTAAGATTAGATAGGATAGTTAAAATATTAACAAGGTAGACACAAAAATTTTATTACTCATTAAAGACTTTAGTCTCTAAAAAAAAGAAAACAAATATATTCATTATAAAAAAAAATTTTGCAAATTTTTTCTACTCAAGACACAGTATTAAAATATAATCAGATTTCTAAGACACAAATCTTTCCAGGCTTAGAAACTGTAAAAGGGGTGGGGAGGAAGGAAAGAAAGATTTAAATATTTATTAGAAAAAAAAAGATTAGCTAAATGCTGTGACTATGTTAAATTCAACTGTCATCAACTTCATAACAAAATATGTATGTAAAAAAGACCAAATTAAAGTTGATAAGCAGTTTATTAAGTTTGAGAACATATTGCTGTAGTTTTACATTATAACTTTTATTTCACATTCATAAACTACTTTTAACTTTGTTATCTGTGGAAGAAAATAAAATGGAATAGTAAATAAAAATTTACTATGCCCAAAGAAAATGACCTGTGATGGGGTGCAAAACAAACAAACAAAAAACCTAGCAATAAAATAAGACCATACCCAACCTCCAGTATATTAGAAATAAACAAAACTTTTGGAAAAGAGCTGAGTCACAAATAATCTAAACACGACATTTTCTTACCATTTTTCTCATTCCTTTTTTATCAATATAAGATACAACAAGAATCTAAACAGTTACTACAGCACTTTGAGTCTCAGTTCGATCACAGAACTGGAACTAATAATTTCATTAGGCTGTTGTGAGAATCTAATGCAATACTGACTATGAATATTTTGTAAATTGTAAAGCACTGTGCAAATGTTGTTAATTATTATTATTGTGTCATGATTCACTAAAGATCTACACTTTTGTAGTTACACTTTTGTAGTTACAGTGCCTTATTGAGAAAATGAAATTTGTCAGTCATCCACAGATATATGCATCTATCACAAGGATTGTTGACTGAACCACTAAGATAAAAACCAAAGTGTAAACAGAATTTAACATAATAAGGACATAATAATACACTGCTATGAATTGCTGGAGGCATAGTAGGCCATGGTAGTAGAGCTTTACAATACTGACAATTAAATCTCAGAATATACTGTAGGCTAATAATTTGTGAAATGAGGAGGGAACAGCATTGATGATTAGACAGGGAAGAAGAGGACACCTTGGATAGAGACTCAAAATCACATAGTGAGGTTGCTTTGAAAAACTATATGTTTTTTGAAATGGATAAGGCAGTGATTTATATTACTAAGCTACTGTTACTGATTTAAGTGTGTATATCCTTACCCTTTCCTGCATTCCCTAAATGGCAATGTTGTTACACTATGAAGACTTGTTGACAACATGTATTGGCTCTATCTGCTAATCTACATACCTGGTTTTGGACTAAGCCATAGTAAAACATTTTGTCCAAAGAAAATAATAGAAAAGCCGGGTTTTCTGTTTTGTTTGTTTAAACTGGGAATGGCAAAGTAAGGCCTAGATTTAGAAAGCAGATAATAATGAGTGATGAAGGAAGTCTTGATAAATCATCATATATAAAATTACTACGGGGCAGGGAATATAGTATATTTGTAAGAGCACTTGCCTATTGCCCTGGGTTCGATCCCCAGCAATGCAAAATATAAAATACCATGACAGACAAATATACAATGCTGGTGACATTTCAAAGTCAGAACATGATTGTTTTCTAAAAATTGACAGAACTTACTTGTAAATACTTAAGTTTGACCATTGACTGTCAAGTCAAAGTAAATTCATTCTTATAGTATTAACTGATGCAATTAAACTCAGTTTAACATTTAACTTACATAATATATAATTAATTCATTCATGTATCCAACAAATAACTATTGAACACCAACTACATTTCAGTAAAATAAAAGAGTCAAAGTCTCTTTCTCCCACTGAGCTCACATTCTAGAATATAGATAAGTATTAAAATATCATCTGCTAGATTTAATGCTGGTAAGTAAAATAAAGCAGTGAAGGCAATGAAATAGAGAGTAGCTTTATTTTATATCAGCTGACAAAGGAAGTCATGATAAAGTAATATTTTAGAAATCACCTGGAGAAAATGGAAGAATAACCTGCAGAAAACGTTGTAAGAAGAGCACAATTTTCAAAACACTAAAGCTTTAAATTTTGAAAACTGATTACTGAATTTATTTGTTAATATTCAACCTTGAGGAAATTTATATTCATAGAAAATCAAGGCAATGGCCGATATACCACTCTCTAAAAGGAAGAATGTAATCAGCACTACTTATATGTAAAAGGGGACAGAAATATTATCCCAAGTGAAAGGGGAAGGAGTATTTTTCAAAATTACAATTTATAAAGAGACAATGAACTTATAAACAAACCAAGCACTGTCTTTCCAATTCTAAATAGACTTCATAATAAGCCAAAAAAGAGAGGGCTTAAAAATTTCAGTTGCTTGCATTTTTGCTAACTGTTTTACTTGAAGAATGTCAAAGACCAATGGAAAGACCAATATCTGAGATATAAGTAAAAATAAAGAAAATGGAAGAAACAAGTGAAGTATATAATTTAAAATTTAGCTTTACAAAAAAGCTACATTTACCTCATAGTTTATGTTCATTATTAACTCTTTTACAACACAATCAGTAGAAAAATTAGAATACAAGTTACTATTTACAAAAAAGAATCACTGTTAAGCCCAGTTACTAAATAAAACTTCCAGATTAAAGACACGAAGTTCTTTGCCATTAGGGTTCTCAAGTGCTAGTTCTAAATTTCCTATCTGTTTTAATCTCCATTACTTAACTCACACTTTCCAAAGCAGACTAAATATATTTATCCTGACCTTTTATATTCAGTTCTCAATCACACCCAAGTATGTCTGTAACAGTATTTGATTACACAGATCTTTCTTTTATTTTTTTAATATAAGTATATAGCATTCTACAGTTCAACTATACTTAGTTGCTTACTGATAGACAAGTTATTTCCAATCTTTTGCTATTAAGATATGCTGCATGAAAAGCTCACAATCTTTCATTTTATAACTAAGTAAACAAATTCATGATGTAAATTTCTACAAGAATCAAAGGATATATGTTTTTATAATTTTGAAGGATACTACCAAAGTACCCTCCACAGAAGCTGTACCTATGTACATTTCCACTAGCAAAGATGAGAGTACTGGTTTTCCCTGACTTTTGCTAAACAGTGAAAAACATTTTAGATCACCGTTTATCTGTAAAGAGAAAAATACCAGGTCAGTGTAGTTTTAATTTAGTTTCTTCTACTACAAGTGCAATTGGACATCTGATCTTGTAGGTTTAAGAGCCACCTAAATTTCCTTTTTATATTTTTTGCCCATTTTTTAAAAAAAGAGGATTATAGAATTTTCCTTATTTTAGAAGTTCTTTATATATAAAGAAAATTGGCTCATATTTTACACTGTGAACTGCAAATATTTTGTCCAGATTTTAGTGTGATCACAGTCATGTAAATAACAGTTCTAAAATACTATTCTTTAAATATTTTCCACACCTAAAATTTGCCATTGCTTAATATGTACATATTACAACATGTTTTATTCCTGCTACACAGTTCATGATTGATATTTGCTGACTGAATGAATAAATACATTTATCATTCACTAAATATTTATTCATTACCTGGGCATTAACATAGGTACCAGAGATACAGAAGAAAATTCAAAAAGCTTATTGCTCTCACAAGAACTTGTAGTCTGGCAGAGGAGAATTATACCAATCATTAACTAGAAAATGATGTGAAAGTACTTTAAAATATATGAAGTGCTTTGGAAAATGAAATGAGAATGTAGGTAATTATGAAAGAAAAAAAATATCTGAAGTAGTAATGTTTACACTGGGAGGAGGAGGAGGAATTGGTGAATAAGAAAGTATAAAGCATTACCAATAGAAATACAAGTGATGTAGAAGGAACAATTCTCATAGGATGGGTGAATAAACACAGGGTGAGGAGCCTAAAAAGGTAGATTCAGATTATGCTCTGTAGATTATATAATCCTATAAGTATATATTTTATATTGCAAGCTTATAATAGCAAATAGGTTTCATCTTATACACTAACTTTCTAATAGCCAGTAGAGACCACTCAAAACATTCTGCACAGAAGAATTCTAAGGCTGTTAAAAAAAAAAAAAAAAGAAAAGAAAAAAAGAATTCTAAGGCCCTGTCTGATTTTGGCAGTCATAATAACAACTGACAATCTGCCATACATTTAAAAGGGGACAATAGACACAGAAAACCAAATGAGGCATTTTAAGTTAGAGGGTACTTAGAACGTATTCCTAGGCCAGGTATGGTGGCACACACCAGTAATCCTAGCAGCTCAGGAGGCTGAGGCAGGAGGATTATGAGTTCAAACACAGCCTCATCAACGTAGCAAGACCTTGTCTTTAAATAAAAGTATAAAAGGGCTAGAGATGAGGCTTAATGGTTAACTCTGTATTCAATCCCTATACCCCAAAACAACAAACAAACGAAATAAAAAACATATTCTGGTCCTTGGGAAAGATAATGTCAAGGTGGAAGACTGGAAAGGGGTGGACTATGAGAACAAAGTTTTATCCAGATTAGAATTTTCCTCTCCTTCCTATCAATGATAAAATGATAAAGTCTGATAGACATTAAAGTGTTTTAAAAAGTGTATGAAGTGAACAATCTACTTAATGAAGAAGTTAAAAAATGAACAGAGAATTCATGAAGAGCAGAGTTTATAAACTTCAGTAGACAGATTTATTGACATTTGTTTGTCTTGGAGTTTGAAAATGTTAATAATTGAAAATGTATAGGAATAAAAATAATACTTGAAAGGAACCACCACTTACATTGAATATTGGCAGGTAATCATAATAGATACAAATAGTTCACTTACTTTAGTTTGCAATCTTAAAAGATTCTATGTGGAGATTATGGATGAAATGAAATCATCTATTTTGATAAAAAAAATCTGCCAAAATTTTATTTGCAAAGAAACATATCATTATGATCAAATGTACTACAAAAGTCTAGTTATTTAAATAAATAAATAAATAAATATAATCTGTATTGCATTTAAAGAAAAAGAGGAGTAACAAGAGATTCTATTAAATGAAAACAAATATATTTGCAAATTTTAGAAATAGTTTGTATGTTGACTTACCTTCATCTTGGGTAACAACTGGTATCGCCAAGCTATTTTCATCTTAGTATTAGTTTCTGGTGTTTGATGATCGCGAACTTCTTCATCAAATTCTTTTTTATAATTATCATCAAGTAATGGTGCAGGGAGTTCCTAAAAAAGCAGAATGACACATTATTGAACTTATGTGGTAAATATGACAATTTTTTGAAGTATAATGTTAACAATACTAGAACATTCCAATTTATTAAAAAACAAATAACTTAGAATTGATTTAAGCATTAAATCACATAATATAAATATTTCTAAAACTGAGAAAGTATAATATCAAATGTGAAGTTTAGTGCTTTAATGATGAAATAGAACTTAAAAATATTTGAATTTTTACTCACAAAAAGCAAATGCTATTCCAACAAGTGGCTATGCAGATTTCTAAAAAATTTTTACACTTAAAACAAAGTCTGGAACTGTAATTACTGTTATGTTTTCCACAAAGTAAAAATAAAGTATGTGCACAATCTGTTTACTAGTTTGTAATTCAAGAATTCAAAAAACTCATTGACTGAAATAATGGGTGAAATAACAACTAAGAATAAAGACATTTATTTTACCCACATCAAATGTTAGTTTTGCTCCTGCAAGCTTATGTCTCTTAACAATGAATACAGAATTTAAAATCTCTGATTCAGTGAAGGGACACTGAATTCCAATTTATCAATTTTGGAAGGTGACCAGTAAGTGACTAAAACAAAGAAATGAACAGAATTTTCTTGGAGAAAGAAAACACATATAATTATTTGCTTTTATTTTTTTTATTAGCAGAATCATAAAATAATGTGGGCTTTGCATTAGTAAATACAATTTTATATGTTAGTCTAAATTGGAATTTTTATTTTTCAAGGCCATATTACTTAGATTTAGTTTCAAATCAACAAATCAGCTGAAAAATAAGTTATCACATACTTTAGTCAATTCCTAAATGACATCAATATAAATTCACATTATAATTCATGCCACTATTAGAAATTAGTTATTTCATTTAAGCTCCAAAACCTAGCAAAGCACTTGTACCGTAAAATACAGAGTAACATCTTTTTCCAATGAAAGTATTATGTAGTATAGCATTCTGCTTATAAATTTGAAATCTGCAACCAGAATATCTGGGTTCACAACTTGACTTTTCACTAGTAGCTGTGTCTGGGATAACTCTGACCATCTACCAGACCTCTCTATGTCTCCATTCATATGGGAAAAATTGTATTCAGTTCAGTAGTTGTCATCAGGAATAAATGAGTTAAAAATGTAAAATTCAGAGAATGGTGCTTGCTACATAGTAAATATCCAATAAATGTTATACTATGCTTAATGATTACTTAGAAGTGTACATTTGTGTATTAACAGAATTAGGTAAAATTTAAACTATTTGTATTAACATCTTTTTCAACTCCAGGGTCACTTAATAATAATTATGACAAATGTTACCCACATTGAAAATTAATTTTTTCTGTAGAGATGGAATAAACATTTTAAAATTTATATTGCATTGTTTCTTATCGTTCAAAAGATGCAAATTTATAGTGAAATGTTCTTATATTAATGGGCATAGATATTAATGAAATTTAAAAAAGAACTTTTATTAACACAGCTAAAACATCTAAATAAGATTAAATTATAAAATAGACAAGCAAAAAATAAAAAGACAAATATTTTCTCATTTATTTTATTAAATATATATCTACTCCTGTAGTAGGCATTTCACAATTTAAAAAACTTTTTAAGTGGGGCTGGGGTTGTGGCTCAGTGGTAGAGCGCTTGCCTAGCTCACGTGAGGCACTGGGTTTGATCCTCAGCATCACATAAAATGAAGTAAAAGAATTGTGTCCACCACCTATAGCTAAAAAATAGATATTAAAAAAAACCCAACTTTTTAAGTATTATGGAAATTACAATAACTTAAATTTTTGCAGTGATAAAATGGTTTTTCATTTTCAAAAGCTAAAACATTTAAAAGATGCACAAAAAGTATACTGCAACTACTATATGTCATCTAAAGGTTGTTTTCTCATATGCATATTTTTATTGAGATAAAATTCACATAACAAAAATTCACTATTTTAAAGTGTTACATTCAGTGTTTTTTAAAATATTCACAATTTTGAAACTATCTTTCTCATCACTCTGAAAAGAAACCTCAAATCCGTTAAAATAGACACTTTTACTTCCTATAGTTCCTGGCAAGCACTATTCTACTTCTTATCTAGATGGATTATCTATTTGGACATTACACATAAATGTATTATGAATAATGCTGCTATGAACATTCATGAAAAATATTTTTGTGTGAATATATCTTAATTCTCTTGGATATATACCTAGGAGTGAAAGTGCTGAGTCATAGGGTAACTCTTACATTTACCTTTTTGAATGCCAAAATGTTTTCTATAGTAGTTGTACCATTTGATATTCTGACCAAAAATCTATGGGGATTCCAATTTTTCTATTCCTTACTAACACTTATTTTCCTTTGTGAAAAAATGAGCTATTACAGCTTTCAGGAAGAAAGATGGTGGAGTTAACCTAGGCAGGGACTCATAGATTAAAATCAGTGAAAGAACAGCTGACCAAAGAGACATATGAACCCATAGAAGGCATTTCCTGAGGATAATTCCAAGCAGCCAACAAAAAACCTTGTGCATACAAGATGTTGTAAACTCCACCAAGGGAGTGCACCCCTTAACAGGGAGTCCCCGGTTGCTAAGAGATAGACAAATTAGGAACTATTTCCTCTGATCCACTGGAAAGCTAGTAGGAAGGGGTCTTCCAGAACTGTATCAGATGTGTGCTGGTATGTTTGCACTAAGGGAACCTTAGCAGTAAAGCTGAAAAGTGTAGGGCATCTTCTAAAGATCCAAAATTTTGATGAAATCCAAAACCAGGAAAACTCAATAAGAAATATCCCCATCTTAAATAGTATGGGATATCATAAATCATTCTAATGTCAGTTTTAATCTTACAGATCATATTTTTTGTATTGAATCAATAGATCTTCCCTTATTTAATACTGCCATTCTTAACCTAATTGATTATATTTCTTCTAATGTTTTGAAGCATGAATTGGAATAATTCTTTTTTCCTTTCCTAGCTAAGGCTTATACTTGTCCCTTTAGTCTCTCTTTTCCCTCTTGTATTACTTGCTTCTATCTCAGATTCCCCATTTTTTTCTTAGTTTGTACTATTAGGTTCTCTCCTCTATTTCCTCTCACTTTTTGGTCTGTCCATTTTTTCTCTTTTTGCTTTTCAACATCTATATAATTTAATAGTAATCTTACTATCATTCATAATTAATTTCAGAATCTATTCAAGAACACTACTCCAATTTTTATTTGGATTAGGGGAATTGTGGAGAATATTTTTAATAATATTTTTCCCCATAAGGTTTATTAGTACATAGCTTTGCTATAAAGTGACTGCTGTTAATAGAGTTTAGTTATCTTCTCTCAAAGTGGTATTGGATACTGGGTATAGCAAGGTGAACATATTGGGTAGGAGTATCAACACTTAGATATTCACCCAGCCTGGGGCACTTAAGATAAAGAAGCTCTGGAAATAGTCCCTGGCATAAAAGTTGAAGAAATAATCATTTCAGCAGATGGGTAGAAATACAAAGAATATGAAAAAGTAAGGGAACAAGTCACTTCAAATAGCCCACAACACTTCAACAACTAATCCCACTGAAACCACAGTGGAGGAAATTTTTTGACAAAAAATTTAGAAAGTCCATAAAGTGATCAATGTACTAAAAAAAGACCTAAGAAACAAACTAAGGGAGAAAATACAAGAAGTGAAAGAACATTTCAATAAAAGAGAAAAAGATTCTCAAAAAGAACAAAACAGAAACCCTATAAATGAAACATTCAATAAATCAAATTAAAAAATTCATTTGAAAACATTTTCAATAGATTACACCACATGAACAGATTTTCAGGCCTCAAAGGACAAGGTATATAATCTTGAAAATGAAGTTAGCAATAAAGAAAAGATTACAAAAGAACATGAGCAGAATATCCAAAAAAATCTGGGATAACATAAAGAGATCAAACCTGAGAATCATTGGCTTAAAGGAAGGCACTGAAATATAAACTAAAAGAATACATAAACTTTTCAGTGAAATAAGAAAAATTGGGCAATGAGATAAAAATCCAAATACAAGACATATTAATAATCCTAAATAGAAAAGATCTGAAAAGATCCTCTCCAAAATGCATAACAGTTAAAATGACTAATATACAGAACAAGTATAGAATTTTAAGAACTGCAGGAGAAAAATAGCAAGTAACATTTAGAGATAAGCCAATTAGATTTCTTCTGATCTTTTAGCCTGGACTATAAAATCCAGGAGGGCTGGGAGTAATACTTCCAAGTCCTGAAGATAACATTTGCCAGGAAAGATTGCTATGTCCAGAAAAGCTATCTTTCAAAATTGAGGATAAAATAAAATCTTTCAAGATGGCATAAACTAAAAGAATTCATGACTATTAAGCAATGATATAGAAAGAAATATTACACACAGAAGAAATAAAAACCAAACATTAAAGCCAGCAAATGGTTGAATCTCTACAGAGATAACAATCAAATCTGAATTAAACATTAAAAATAAATAAAATTGGCACTGAATGTCAATGGTCTCAACTCACCATCTAAAAGACAGACTGGCAAAGTGGATTACAAAACAAGATGCAGATATATATATATTTTTTAAAGACTCACCCTATAGGTAAAGACATCCATGGGCTGAAGTTGAAAGGATGGACAAAGGTATACCATGCAAATGGAGACCAAGAGCAAGTAGGAGTAGCTACTCTTATATTTGACAAAATTAATCAAAAAAGGAAGTGACCAAAGAAGGTCACTTAATACTGGCTAAGAGAACTGAATATTCAACAACAAAATATAATGATTGTAAATATTTATGCTCCAAATGTCAATGCACTACTTAAACAAACTATATTATGTATAAAGTCTCAGACCTTAATTTCCATATACCTATCTCACTGGTAGATAAGTCATTCAGATATAAACTAAAAAAAGACTCTTCAGACCTCAAAAATATTATTAATCAAAGGGACCCAACAGACATCTATTAACTATTCCAT